AGCAGTTATCGTCTCGCTCAGCGTTGTGCCGGTTTTATCAGTTGATTGCAGAATTTAATATTTGATTGCAGAGAGGATTCGAGGAACAACTAAAGTGGTGGAAATATTGAAGAAAGTTCAGGAGAGAAGATTGCAGTGGTATGGGCACGTGATGAGGAGGGAAGATGATTATATAGGCAAGAGGGTTTTGGATATGGAGGTGGAGGGGAGAAGGAAAAGAGGAAGACCAAGGAGAAGATGGAAAGATTGCATGGATGGATATATTAGAGAGAAAGGCCTTGTTGGGGACGAATACGAAGACCGAGGAGAGTGGAAACGTGCTGTCAAAAATAGCGACCCCGTATAGATATGGGAAAAGCTACAGAAGAAAAAGAATGGAATTTGGGAATGAGTTAAATTTCAATTTTTTTTTTCAATTATTAATATACATTGTTGGGAATAATTATGAAAACTGTGAAGAAATTGGGTATAAAACATATATAGTTTTGGAGTGTCAACTATTTTTACAGTTGAATTATAATAATTATTACGGAAGTAAAATGATAAGAGGGCATACAGTTAAGATAAAGAGTGGATCTAAAATATGTCGTATTTTCAGTAGAATGGTTTTCCAGCAGAGCTGTTAGTTAAGCACTCTAGCTAGAGGTTCATAAGACACCAGACTGTGACTGAGTATCTTTTCGATTTTCTACTGAGATTGACTCGAAGTCTAGAGGGTACAATGTACAATGCGTATTAATAAAAACACATTCACAATTTCAAACACGAAGAGTAAGTGTGTTGGACAGACAGAGAAAGGAAGTGAAACCTTAATGAGTTTTCTCTCAACAGCCCAATGTGCTACAACACTGTGTATAAAAGTAAACCTATAATAGAATACAATAAAGTTAAAACAGATTTACAAACGTTATCAATGTCCTAAAAATCTCTGCAAAGCCTCTCCAAAATCTCTATGTTCTGTAGAAATATAAAATATCAACCAAAATCCCTGAGTAGCAGTGGAAAACGTGGCTTTTAATACAAAACACAATAACATCACATAAAATCAGGTTACAAAAGAAACCTCAACTGCTCATGATCTTTGCCCACTCATGTTCAATCGCAGAAGCCCAGGGACATTTGCCAATTCGCCGAAAGAAAAAAAAACAGCTTTATATTATTTTTCTTTGCAAGAAAATCTGATAATTGCTAATTAGCAAACGAGGTCTCATACAAAGAAATAAAATAGGTGTTCACTTGAACAATATTGCACGTCAGACCTAAATAGAAAGAAAAGCAGAAATATCCAGATGGTTGACATATGAACTATGGGAGTAGAAACACATGGTACCATCCTGTATCATAATTTTCTTATAGAAAATGCATGAGGTCCGTCTTGAAGGACTAAATGGTTCTTTGTTGTTTGTATGTTATGTGACTCTGGGTAATAAACATCAATGTAGAATAATGAAAGCTATATGCCTTTTAGTTTAGTTAGTAATATAATCATTAATAAGCAGTTGACATTCAGCTATTCATCGTTCCTACATCCCTATATGTACTTCTGAAATTCAAATAATTAACATTGTAATAAGTTCAACAAAAATTCGAACAACTTTGCAAATCTGTATTACAAAATTGAAGACACATAACCAGAGATCGCGTGATTGATAGCCAGTGTCACTCAAAGAGGTTGAAATAAGTAATAAAGTGATAAATCTTACTTATTGCAACCTTTTTGGTGCCAACAAACATATCATCGCCCCAGCTGCGAATGTGCTTCAAACTAGACAGTCAGTATTCCCCCATTCATTGATAAATAATAACTGCCTGGTCGCCAGATTAATATTTGGGAGGGCAGTAGAGAAGGATGGTTGACTTGCTGTAAACCATATAAATAAATCTGTAGCTAGTGTTACACAGCCTACTGAAATTTACGTCTATGACTTTTCTTTTTGTGTCTCTATGAACCAGAAGGTTTCTTTATCATTTCACCATGTTCGTTCATGCGTTCCTTCTTGTAACCTAATAAAGAGTACGAGCACTGAAATAACCACCTCGTATAATTTTCATTTGATTTGCTTGAAAATTTACGGCAATATTGCATTCGAGGAATAGGTATGCATGTAGTATTTTCGTGCTGTTTCTTATTTCATTATCTTACGTTTTATGACGCGTTCAACTTATGGAAGAGTGGGAAAAGGGGAAATATGTAATTACATGTTACATCCAAGGAAGACAACTGTGGTGTTCTGGTATATTTCTGATTTTTAAATCCATTATAAACTATTTTATAACGAATGATATTAAAAACTTCCTACATGTTATTTCCAGTGTGTTATTCTTACACGTGTTTCTAATGATTATGCAGTCAAAGTGGTTTGCTTTGAATAGAAAGCCATATATATATATAGTCTTTAATAAACTATTAATTTCTAGTGAGTGTAGTCTACACGTACAAACAACAAGATGGTTGATGTGCTACAATATAGTTTTGGTAGAATATTTCTTCACCATCTAGTTTAATGTTTTAAATATATTTGTAAATCATCTTTTAAACTTGAGAATTTTGTTTTAATAATATATAACAAATAGGTAAAGTCAGTGTAATCGATTTCATCAATCATTCTCAGTAGTCTCAAAATAGATTAAATATTCTATAGTTTGACTTGAACTGATTATTTTCACCTGGTTTTATATCATAAGAAAAATCCTTACAATGTAAGCACTACTTCATCTTAAGATTGGTTTAGAAGGATTCAAGATGGCCGCCATACTGATGTGTGAGTAGTATTTACAATACAAATCAGTTCGTTTCAAATTAAGAAATAAACGTGAAAACGGATAAATGGTCAGGTAATACCTTTAAATATTCACTAGAAGTTCGAAAAATGCTAATTAATGTATATATTATTTAACTATCCGTCGTATATAAATCAGATGTGGCACGTGATTCACGTTCAACTTAACTTTTCGCTGACCACAGTTCAGCATATTTTTGTATAAATTGCTGACAACTTTTGTTTTCTAGGTATGTCATGGGAAATAGATACAATTTCCAATGTTTAAAACTCTTGTTGGTGATGTGCTACATTAATTCGGTGTTTCATTTTTATGGTTTTTATATTGTACAGTATATGGCAGCATTGTACACTATACAATAATGGTATCGAATAGTATACAATAGTAATGGTATCGAATACACATACAGACATTTATGTTTGTTCTGTTGATCTTGGTGACTTTGCAATTGACAAAATAATCAATGAACATCAATCGTGTTTAGAAACATTTTATTTTTCTTACGAAGTTTAGACAACGTAATTGATATTTAGTTATCAAACAATTGTGTATAATTATGTGGAGTTTTAGAAGTAGTTGTAGAAATCTTATGTCAAAATCTTTTTGAGCCTGTGACTCCACTAGGAAGTTTTAAAGAGATAGTAGCTAAAGACTGGGGTAATAGTTTCGTATGGTATCCGGGAGTAGGACTGGCGTTCTAGTCCGGACACCGGGTGAACATGTTTTGGTGTGACGGGGATTCGAACCCGTGACCTGCAGATTGTGAGTCAAGTGCCCCAACCACCTGGCCACGCCGGGCCAAGACTGCGGTATTCGTGTTTTGTGTAATTGAGATCAGAAGCTTGGTATGGAAATCTTGCCAGTAATATATATATATATATTTAATTCAGTTCACTAGGATGTTTGCCTGTGTCTCTTGATATTGAAAGTCTAAAAAAAAGGCAAAGACAAGCAGTCAATCTTGGGAATCAGTTTGACAAACCCAAGCTTCAAAGAGCTGAAAAAAAGAAGAATAGAGGAATATTCACATGATGGCACACCAAGTAAGGATGCTAGGCATTCCGCTAATGAAACTTATATCATATTCCAAGAAAAACCTTTTTTGTCATGATTCATCGAGTAAATATTATTAAGTTTCTACATTTAAGACGGACACTCATGAGGGAAGGCGTGAGCTTGTTTTACAAGTCACGGTTGCACAGGTAAAACTCAGTGGAGGTGATATGATTTTGTAAGATTTTATTTATCATTCTAAGTGTCTTAGTTTACTTTACAAAAAGGAAACCAGAACATCTATCACAAGTTCCGTATGATGAACATAAAAGATGTATGGTTTAGCAGAGCTTATACCTCACATTGAGGAAGTCAAGGCGGAATATGATATTGCCCTAGTGTTAAAATTATCAGATCTGGCAAAGATTAATTCATGCTTTTACTGGGTGTGACCATATTTTTTGTTTAATGGCAAAAGAAAGAAACCTGCTTAAGATACTTGGTGAAGAAATCACTATATATTTTTTCCCAGATAACGACATTTCTTCTATAATATCTGACCTGTAACACTTTGTATGACAGAACTAGTTAGTGTCTGTAAGACAACAGACCAGGACGAAAATACCATTTCACACGGAAAGGAAAGTCAACTACTATTAGGTATATATACCTTAATATTATCTTAGTTAATAATGAGTGAGAAAAGTAACATATAAACGAGGTGGATATAAAAAAAGATTCACTGATAAACATCTAGTGCACAAGCAACTGAACCGTACATGCATATATATGAGAAACTCCTAATTCAGAAAATCGAAAGTAGGGCTAGGTCATAGCTGAGTAAAATTTGTTTGTAATTAAGCACGAAGCTACACAGTGGGTTATCTGTGCTCTGCCCACCATGGGTATCGAAACCTGGATTCTAGCGTTGTAAGCCCGCAAATATACCGCTGTGCCATTGGGGGGGGGGGCGCTGAGTAAAATAAAGTTTAGACCTAAGCTAGTGCTACTGCTAGGCACCAGGAGGAATTCGCTAAAAACAAAACCCATTAAATTTCAAGCCCCCGATTAATTCCAAATAACATTGATTATGAAACGAATAAGCCTGTCAAATAATGAATTTAACTTAAAGAGTGTGATTACTTGCTGATATATTTTATAGAGACCGTGAAAAATCACTTATCTGAAGAGATTAAAATTAGTTCATTAGTGAACTTGTTCAGTGTTCAAGTAATGCTATTTAATCCCGACATCGTCAACTCCAAACCTAGGTCTAACGTTAATTTGATTAGAAGTTAAAACACAAATCATGCACAGAAACTGGTTATTCAAGATGCAAATCTGACCGAAAATTTTAATGTCAGCAAAGTTTGTTACAATTTCATGTTACATACCTTTATGGATCTTTAGGGAATTTGAATAAAGAAATAATTTATCTTTTCTTTTTTACACTGCTTCATAAACTGTACTACTTCCTTTGACAGTGTAGTTTCACTGCGCTGTGACAGTTAATTTGTTCCAAAATAGCAGGAATTGCACATATCCCTCTTTCAGAGACTTCGTGATTTCCGTATAGTCGCCGTTGTTTGCTGATTAACATATTCTGATTTTATTATCCATTTTTGATATCCAAATTTTTTGTTTAACTTCACAGACGGCAAATTAGTCCTAAGGTATAAGAAAAACAAAACATTTCATTATTCATGGACTGATTATTAAAAGTGAAATATAATTTAGTAACAAAACCATGGTATTGAAGTTTAATCATGATCGTGTTTTTTCAGATCAGTTATTTTGTTCAACCAACTTATGCGCTGAAAACAGGAGATATTTCTAGAATAGTACTTACAAATTATTACAGTCTTTTTTAATAATGTCGCTGAATTTTGTATAATTATTATTTAACAGTTAATTTTTTGTAATCGTGTAGTACATGCAATATATTCGCGAATATCGCTTATATTAGTGTTAGAGAACATGGACCGAAAGAAATAACATGTAATACTCGACTCGCAATCTGTGTCTCGTGCAGAAAGAAATAACATGTAATACTCGACTCGCAATCTATGTCTCATGCAGAAAGAAATAACATGTAATACTCGACTCGCAATCTATATCTCGTGCGGAAAGAAATAACATGTAATACTCGACTCGCAATCTATGTGTCTCGTGCAGAAATAAATAACATGTAATACTCGACTCGCAATCTATGTGTCTCGTGCAGAAATAAATAACATGTAATACTGGATTCGCAATCTATTATAAAAACATTGAATTACTTGAACTATGTCATCAGATTAATTTAGATATTATTACTATTAATTAAACCCTATTAGATCCTTCTTCCAACTTTTCTTTCTCTAACTAGCACCTACTGTCCAGTTTTCAATCTCGTGGCTGATGAATGAGATAATATTCTCCATATGAAACAAGTCTCTCTAAACAATCAAAGTTTTGTTTCCAACGAATACATTTTAAGCAAACTACATGCTCCGAGCTGTATCTCCCTGTATAAAGAAAGACCTAACCCATCATTATTTTGGCACAATTTTAAACTATCCATACAGATTCTAATGAAAATAGTAACATCACACATAAAAACTCTGTTGCTGTGACCAATAGTAATAATGCTAATCTTCTTGTTAACTTTTTCAAAGACATTTCATCACCCCTAACCTAAACACATTTGATAATATAAATTATAAATTTGTGAAAAAAATCATATAATCACTAAACACGCAGACTACGACGAAAATGTCGAGTAACAATCTCCAAACAAGTCTCTCCTTTCCCTAATGTAGTAGAAGCAGGCCTATTACGATCACTATCTCAGAAATTGGACTTTAAATAAAACATTTAAAAATTCAACCCCTAAAGAGGACCAAATTAGCAACTCCATCATTAGAAACGCATTTGGCCTTATCTCCCTCCTGCATATACAGTGCCTAGCAAAAGTATTCACCCCCTACCAATAATGTTCCATTTTGATGAAATACAAATAATGTAAACAATTTTTCATGAACTTGTTTTTATTCAAAACGCTAATGATCAAACTTAACACCGTTTTGTGTGAAGGAGGTTTAATGTCAGCAAAACCTGCAAAGAAAATATATATAAATTGAAATTTGCTGATTGCATAAGTATTCAGTCCCATAAGTCAGTACTTGGTGGAAACACCTTTAGCAGTAATTACTGTAATGAGTCTTTTTGGATAAGTATCTACCAGCTTTGCGCAATGGGATGGTGTAGTTTTTGTCCATTTTCCTGACAAAATTGCTCCAATTCTGACAAGTTCGTTGGGGATCATCGATGGACTGCAATCTTCAAGTCTTGCCAAAATTCTTTTATTGGAATTCAAGTCAAGACTTTGACTGGACCACTCCAAGACATTCACTTTCTTCTTTTGAAATCACTCCAGTGTGGCTTTGGCCTTGTGATTTGGGCCATTGTCCTGCTGAAATGTGAATTTTCGACTCAGTTTAGATTCTCGGCTGACTCAAGCAAGTTTTTCTGTAGGATTCGCCTGTACTTTGTACTTTGCACCATCCATCTTCCCCTCAATCCTAACAAGCTTCCAAGTCCCTGCTTACGAGAAGCATCCCCATAATATCGTGCTGCAACCAACATGCTTGACATTTGGGAGGGAGTTGACTGTGTGATGAGTTGTGTTTGGATTGCGCAAGATGTAACGCTTTGAATTTAAACTAAAAAGCTAAATATTTGTTTCGTCTGCTTGACAGTTGGGAGGGTGTTGACTGGGTGATGAACTGTGTTGGGATTGCGCCAAACATAAAACTTTCAGTTTAAACCAAAAAGCTAAATTTTTGTTTTGTCTGACCACAAAACTTTCTGCCACATGTCTGCAGTATTATTTACGTGCTTTGTCGTAAACTCCATATGAGAATTAAGCTGATTCTTTTTCAGTAATGGCTTCTTTCTTGCCACTCGCACATACAGGCCAGCTTTGTGTAGGGACCGGGATATTGTCAATGTATGAACACTGACTCCCTTCTCATACATGGGACTTTGTAAATCTTTCAAAGTCACTGTTGACTTCACAGTGGCAGCCCTAATCAATTTCCTGCTTGTCTGGTTGCTTAGTTTGGAAGGGTGGCCTGATCTATGTAGTTTCCTACTTTCCCAGCTGTTTAGTATGGAAGAATGGCATGATCTTGTTAGTAACTGGGTGGTATGAAGCACATTCTATTTCTTAATGATGGATTTCACTGTAGTCAAAGGGATAATGAGAGACTTTCAAATTTTCTTATAACCTTCTCCTGATCTGTGCTTATCTACCACTTTATCACTGACTTGTCTGGAAAGCTCCTTGGTCTTCATGGTTGGTTTGTCGTATCACTATGTGAGCTGTGTCTTGAACAGATGCATTTACTCTGAAGTCAAGTTAAACCACTTTGACTACACATAGATATAGACCATTACACTAATTTTGTGACCTTTCAAACTAATCTTTTGCATCTGAACTGATATAGGGTAGCTGCAAAGGGGTTGAATACTTGTGCAATTGAGAATATTCTAATTTTCCTTGAAAATCTAACATACTTACATAATTTCAGCATTGTTTAGCTTTCTCAGTTTGCAATAGATTGTGTAGATTCTAAATATATAGTCCCATCTGAAAGTTTCAAGATTGCAAGCTCAGATGGTAAATAAATGTGGAAACTTTGCAGGGGAGGGTGAATACTTTTGCAAGGCACTGTATAAAGATTGCACTTAATAGAAACTTAACTAATCATTGAATTTTGAAGGGAACGAGTTAAATGCATTTAAAATGATGACACGTATTTAATCCCTACAAATATAAAATAGTAGTGATCCTTACAGAATCCTCTTCTTTCGTGAACAGTTTCTTTGCACATAGGAGTTACAGTTTGCCCATTAACATTATCAATTTATTATGAAAATAATTATGAGTGTTTCAAGGACACATATAATACTTGCTTTGCATTACAAACATTAAAAATGTATGCACTCATAATTTTACTCTAATTTCAATAAATGGACAATGTTCATGTTTTCTTTTCATTAGAACTTTTTAAACATCTTTCATGCTATTAGATTTATTGTAATCCATCGCTTCCTGTGGTGTTTGTAATTCATGTGCCAGTAAGATCATAATTGTATTACTAATACAGTCTTGGCCAAAATGTTTGCCTGCTATTCTACATTGATGTTATTGTCTACATGTGTGGAGTAGCTATTGAGTAAATGCTTGAGTAGTAACAAAGTTAGCATACGGTTAGATAAACACGTACAAGCTGTTATTCTGGTCTGTATAAGTTGTTTTGAGCATTTGTTCGTGAAAACACACATACACACCTGTTTTGTATAAAAGTGTGTGCTTTTAGTAATATATTTTTCGAAACACTTTGTTTAGAAAATTTCTCTGTACTTGGTGTAGAGTGATGCCTCGTCATGTGCCAGAAGTTATGGGGCGTCAAACTGTTTGACTGTCCAGAAATTGTATGAAGCAAATGAACATTGCCAGAACAGTAGGATACCCTCAGTGTACTGTAACTAGAATCTTAAATCGTCAGTAGACTACAGGAAATGTTATTGCAGAAAAACGTTCTTGTAGACACCGAAAAACTACTGCCCCTAGATGACCGTGTTTTGATCAGGTTAACACGTCAAGGTCGAAAGTTGTCTTGCAACTCCTTATGACAGGAATGGCATGAACACATTCATTCCACGGTATCCAGAAGAACAGTGAATTGAAGACTGACCAAACAAGGTTATTTTGCAAAACTGGCTATCGGCAAATCGATATTAACCAGAATTCACTGCCGTCACCGTGTTACTTGGGTAAGACAGCATGCCAACTTACACTTAGGACACTGGCGGCATGTCATCCTTTCAGATGAGTCCTGTTTCCAGCTTCTTAAAGCTGATGGTAGGATTCGCTTTCGTCATTTTCCTGGAGAACAGATGATGAAAGACCGTCTTTCCCACAGGGAACACACAGGAGGTGATGCAGTACATACCTGGGCAGCTATCCATCACGGTGAAAAAACTGCTCTTTATATTCTCCAAGGAAACGTCAATGACGCCTCCTACAGGCATCATGTGGAGACGATATTTCTGCAATATGCTAGTGCAAGATTTGGCAATAACTGTGTGTTCCAGAATGGCAAAGCAACTGCCCATAGTGCGCGTATTGTACAGGATTATCTCGACCAGGAGAACGTTACAAGATTACTATGGCCAGTAAAGTCTCCAGACTGTAATCCCGTTGAGAACTGTTGGACAGAACTGAGCCCGAACATTGCTAACCACGACACTAAACCAGCTACTGTTTGAGTTGTCACACCTTCTAGTAACAAGGTGGGATGAAATCACGGATTACATCAATGACCTCATCGACAGGATGCCATATCGCCTTTCGGAGGTTATTAGAGTAAGAGGAGGACCAACCAGGTACTGAATGTTTAATATGAAGTGATATAAGGTTACAGACGCTATCTATAGTAATTTGATGTTAAGTTTTCTCATTATATATGTTTGGTAAGGTTTTGTTGTGACAGGTGAAATGCTGAATTACACATCTTTCAACAGGTGCCTGATAAAATTGTTTGTTATTCTAATATATTGCTTATGATGTCCATAGAATCTGTCTCATTATATAAATGACATATGTAGCTGTTTAATATAACATGCATTTCTCAGTTTCACAGGGCTAAGTGTATTTGTATTCTATCTTAATAATAATTATTTTACTTGCTATAAAATATACGAGCATTTTGGGCAAGACTGTAGATATCAATTATTCTACATTTTCGTTCATTTCATAGTAATAGTTGTGGCATCAGGAAGGAAAACCACCTTTTATTGTAAACTTATGTATCTTTGACCAAATAATTTATTATAAATGAAACCAGTTGTGTTATCATAACTCCCCTTTGCGTTAGACTATATTCTTTTAAAATATAATCATTGCGAAAGATATGTTGTCAAAATGACGCTTCTAAGCGTTACCATATCTGTATATATGCTTTGTTTAATACTATAATTGCAGCAAGAGTATATAGGCGAAAATTCAGCACTATTTAACAATGATGAGAATTATATAGAAAGCACAACCAAAATATCGAGAATGAATCTCAAGAACTGAAATTGTCACTCACAACAAAATTCAAAATTATAATATTTATCAAAACAAGCAAAATAAATTCACCATCGCGCCCATAATACATACTCAAAAGAGGAGAATTGAAAATTGTATCGTTTGTCAAGAAAGTACAAAAAGGTATACTTTTTAAAGAAAAGTCTATGCGGCACTAGCTCTCAAAAGCCTTGGGGATATCCCCTCTATCAGAGATAATCCGAAAAATTCAGAACAAAACAACTATAAAATAAGATCAAACTACGCCTCAAAACCTACTACCACTCACTGTCCATAGTCGGTTGTTAAATGTAGTATCATAGTAAAAATTTGTTATTAAAAACCATCTTTAATTTCTTGACAAACACCCAACCTGCAACTACAAGTTATTATTACAAGACAACAAGAAACTACGACAACGCTTCCCTAGATAGTTCAGTAGTAATTAAGCACACATCCTCCTTCATCAACAACGTCATTCAAGCGTAAACAAGCTAGCTGAGAAAAACTCAGCTGCTTAAAGTATACTGAATGAATTACAAATCAAATGATAAAACTAATCTAGTTTTTGTAAATATTTCAGTTACATTAATTGTGTTAATTACGTAATTTGTACGTAAATCCAAAATTACAACTTTCTTTACCAGTTGGGGTACTAACGATTTGTTTGTGAATTCTCTAACTTTACTTTTAAAAATATGAAATGTAATATTTATTTTCTATCTAGACAAATTTAACATATCAAACTGGTCTCTTACGGATCTGGCAAAAAAATATTTCCATTCGAAAAGGAAAAAAAAATGTAAAACCATTTGATCAATTCCAATAACATAATTATCAATAATTTATTCTAAATATTTTGATATTTCATTTTTGTCTTTTTTTAAAATTCTGAATTTAATACTTTTCTGTAAAATTATTTCTAGATCAATATGATTATGAAAGAATTGGTTAAACTATTATTAATACAGTTAAAAGTAGGTTAGCAGTTTCCAGTATTAAGATATTCAATATATCTTTTTATTTAAAACGAAAAATTCCTGTTCGTTTATTATATTTCAAATTAATTCTTGGGTGTAACGATTTAATAAGAAATATTTCTTCTTGAATGCTTTTGTAGATTATAGACCGTAAAAATAAATCATCATAACATTTTTATTTAAAATCTATCACAACATAGATGTTTATCTTTTATCAAGGGAAATTATTCGTGGTCTACGTCCAATTTCGTGAAAATATGTTCCACACTTTGAGGCCACGTGTGTTCTATAAGACTGACGATGAAATCCCACTGTTTGGCTAGACAAGAGTAACACAAGAGTTGGTGGTGGGCGTGTTGGCGAACTGCCTTCTTTGTAGTCTATCAATTTGATATTAGGGAAAGCTGTGTGCAGACAGCTCTTTGCGTAACTTTGCATGAATATTCCGAAATAAATAAACAAAGCAGAGATCTATATTTATTTATACCTAAGTCAAGTACATGTTTCAAATCAGCTTATTTTAATATTAATGTAATCATTTCATTTTCATTGATATATAATTTCTGTCTAGCGTAAATTACTGAGAGATGAAGGGTAACTCATATTTCATCTCATATCATAATATTAATATATAAAATCAGGGTTCAATATTGAATCAATTTCTCGAAAAGCAAGTTTGAATTTCAGCAGAAAACTATATACATGGCCACAAGTCCAGGTTCCTAGCTTTTAAAATAGAGAAGTAGGGTTAGTTTTAGCTCATTATAATTTGAATACCTGAAGAAAATTGTAAGTATTTGATAAATCTAATGTTCATATATAGCATTTATCACCAATAACCTGCATTTGCATGAACAACTCATACAGTAAATACCAGTTGTAGGAGCAAATGTGTGAGTGAATTACACTACTCATGTAGGAACATTACTCACATAGCAGTAAACTACTCATGTAGGAACACACTACTCGCGTACCAGCACACTAGACATGTAGGAACACACAACTCACATAGCATCACATTACTCACGTAGTAGCACACTACTAATGTAGGAAACATTACTCACGTAGCAGCACATTACTGTTGTAGGAACACACTACTGATGTAGGAAAACATTACTCACGTAGTAGCACACTACTGATGTAAGAAACATTACTCACGTAGCAGCACATTACTGTTGTAGGAACACACTACTCATGTAGGAAAAACATTACTCATGTAGCAGCACACTACTGATGTAGAAAAACATTACTCACATAGCATCGCACTACTCACGTAGCAGCACACTACTCATGTAGGAACACACTACTCACGTAGCAGCACATTACTCATGTAGCAGTACACTACTCATGTAGGAAAACATTACTCACATAGCAGCACACCACTTATGGCTCAATAACACAGCTCTCTTTATAGATATTGTTCACAACATAAAAATGTCTATCTCATGTTATATAAAGTGTGTGTTTTACAGAGGGATAAGAACTTATATTTAGAGCTACTGATTTTTGAATTTAACCGATAAACAGAAAAAAACTTCCGATACAACAACAATAAAAAATAAGCAAAGAAAAGAAATCGACATATATATCCAATAACACCAGAAAAACACTAAAAATTGTTACTTAGTTCACTTTAACTTCACCCCTTTCCCAGTTCAGTTAGTTATGAATGTCTTTGTCCTAACTTGTAACTAGCACTGATTCGTTATGAATACTTTAAACGCACCCCAGTTATTGGGTGTTAAAGTAACATAGAATAAATTAATACTTGAAACCGTTGGTCCTTGGTGAAACCCATAACTACAGAATTGGGGAAAAAGGCGAAAAAATAATCTTATAGAATACATAAAACGCGAAAGCTTCGAAAAAAACAACAACTAATTTCAGGCTACCTAAAACTCTTAACGTTAATAACCAAAAGGAAACACCAAAATATGAAATTAATTAAAGTCAAAAATCAGAAGCCCTAGTTATATAACAAGATCTCCTCCCCATTCCTTTTTGTTTCTGGCTTGTCTATCTTTACAGTGCCTCCTATATTGGCAAAACCAAACGCAATTTAAAAGTCAGAGCCTATGGACATATGGGAATTTCCACCAAAACGCAAAAAAAAAATTAGTAACCCCATTGTTTCCCCTATACGCCAACTAGTGAAGAAACAGGACATCACCCTATGCTATCAAATTTTTCTATCCTCTACAAGTCTAATAGTGACCTGGAATTACTGATTAAAGAAACCCTCCACATCAAACTGCATTCTCCAACACTGAACAACGTGCAATCTTCATTTAAATTATACATTTTTTAATATGTTCGTATTACTGATTTTACTTTTTGTTGTTGTTGTGTTTTCTTGCTGTAGTTTCTCCTCATAATTACTGTTTTGTGTTTTATTTGTTTAATTATCGTTATATTTAGCATTTGTACTTTATATACCCATTATTTTGAATATGAAAATCAGAAATTCACGTAGTAACAATAGAAATGGTTTGGCATTTCGTATGTAGCGTTATGCTACCGAAAATTGATCGCTTTTGTAACAGCTCTTTTTCGAAGCAAACTGTTCGTATACATAGGTTACGGAGGCGTGTCCAGATCGAAGATTTAGAATGGCTAAGGCGATAATATCCTTTGTACTTAATTACATTGAAAAACAAATAAATATGGATCAATTTGGGACGCAAGGAGAATCCAGAAAGAAACCTTATCTTACTCTAAGTATGGTAAACAAAGTCTAGAAACCTGAAACAAATCGTACCCTAAACATGATAAACAAAGTGTAGAAATCTGTAACATATCGTACCATAAGCATGGTAAACAAAGTGTAGAAATCTGTAACAAGTCGTACCATAGCAATGGTAAACAAAGTGTAGAAACCTGTAACAA